AAAAAAAAAAACCTTAGCCACACGGGTGTTGCCACCTATCTCTGCCCCTGTGTGAGTAGCATTATTCATTGAAAATAAAACATTTTGCAGTCTTCCCATGATTGAAAAATTATGAAATTGATACCATAGAAATCCTTAATTTTTTCTCCACCATATATCATAACTCAATATTCAAAAACTTTAACTAACCCAAATTGTCCTCGATAAGGTCTAAGACTCTATTCTATTTGCAAAAATGGGCTAAAAGACCCCAAACATGTTTGTTAGTATAATTTGAGCCTCATAAATAATATTTTTTTTTCTAAAAAGCCTAAACTCATAATATTTTCTTAAAATTTCACTTTAGTACCTCAAATTTACCAAAATTGCAAATTGGTCATCAAACTTACAAAACTCGCACATCTGCTTCTAGACCTCAACTAAAACATGTACACATCCTCAAAACAACACTCCATGCTTGAATATCATTATCATCAAATGCTTTCTAAATTGTAGTTTAGTCCTTTAACGTTTTAAATGTTGTGATTGAGTCCCAAATTTCTTTCAAATCATCTAATGATTTATTCATTTGATTATATCCTATTTCTCAAAATTTTCATTTTGATCTCAAGAATTGAAAATAATTTCAATTCGATCCTCAAGTTCTCAAACCTTACACTTAAGTCCCTTGAGGAATTGGGGGTATCACCGTCACATCATTATGAGTAAAAGCTCAAATTATAATGATAAATGAATGGTCATATCATATAAATATGAGATCACAAAAAAATTACAACAATGCAATGAAAAAAATATTTATACAGATTAAAATGATCACATTATATGAATAGTAGTTATGATACCTATCTCCACCAGTCTTTTGTATTCGGGATTTTCATAAGAGTGAACCATAAAGAAAAAAGCGAACGCAGGGTTAAATCTAAAATAAGAAAACCAATGAAAAAAATCTCGTAATTGTACGGATTATTTTAAAGGAAAGTGTGAGTAAAGATGAAAGATTGAAGGAATAAAATCACAAATAGTATAGTTTTGACCTCCATACAGACCATAATCTATGATAAGCCTATGCAATACAAAGCGAGGGGCTCTCAACTACGAGTGAAAATTGATATTGATCTTAGGCGGCGTTTGATTGCAAGGATGGAAAATGGTTGGAAAAAAAATATTTTACAGGGAAAAGATTTGCCTAGAAAATGTTTTGCAGAGAAAATGATTTCAAGTGTATTTGATTGGTATAATTTTCTACCCAGAAAATTTTTAAATTTT